ATGAAGGCAATGTGTTATCGTACTCTTAGTGAAGACTATGTTAGATACTAATAGAAATCTGGCACCAGAAGATTATTATAGATAGGTGATTCTTGCATTTCATTTTCATTGTATCTTCATTATGTATGTAGTTATGGATACTATGTAGTGAAATAGTATAGTGGAGGTTTTACGATTTTTTAAAGCAGTATTGTAATCTTTGCGCTAGACTTAAGTGAGTAGGTATGTATCATATATCTTCACAGTCTTAGAGTATGTATATATAGCCTCGTCCCAGGTCCTAGAACTGTGCAAACCCGAATTAGGTTGGTAAAACTTGTCAATTCCGTGACGAAATTTCGTCGCGGAATTGACAAGTTTCATTAGGGTCATCATCATCATCATCATCATCATCATCATCATCATCATCATCATCACATCATCATCATCATCATCACCATCATCATCAGCATTAGTATCATCATCATCTGCAAGTTCACATGAACGTTAACATCCCACCCCATCCCCCCCACCCCACCCCGCGTGTGCGTACAATCAACTGCTTCTGCAAGTTCACATGAACGTTAACATCCCACCCCACCCCGCGTGTGCTTAGCATCAACTGCTTCTGCAAGTTCACATGAACGTTAACATCCCACCCCATCCCCCCACCCCATCGTATGTAGTTCCAGGACCTGGGACGAGCCTCTATATACATATGTATATATATATATGTATATATACGTGTGTATGTGTATATATATATATGTATATATATCAAAATAACAAACATGTTGGTCAAACACCAGAAATCTACCAATCCTTTACCCAGCTTTATACCCAATCATTTGTCTGGTTAAACTACGTATGTTAAACCGGCATTTTTCGCGGGCGAAACCCCTCGTTGATTCAACCTCGACGGCCGTCCGAGAAGCTCAATACCTTCACAGGTTCCTTGTGAATTTCCGCCTGGCGGGTGACCCCCCAGTGTTGCAGTTGGTTTATCAATGTGATTAGATGTGTACATATTATGCCTGATATATATATATATATATATGAATTATTTATTTATTGTTATTTATTTATTTATTCATTCATTCATTTATTTATTTGTCTATATAAAATATTATATTATATTATATATATATACATATACATATACATATATATATATATACATATACATATATATATATATATCCTATATGTATAAACCCCCTTGGCTATAGTTGTATCACCCATAAAGCCAGTCTCGTTCAGCCCGCCTCCGTGCTGTCTCTGAAGTCCTCGGTTTCTTTCCCCTGGAACTCCCTTGTTGGGATATACCTGGCGGGTCCAAGGAGGACGGGATGGTCTTTTGAAGGAACTACCCTCTGGTAATTTAACGTAGCTATTGAAAATGACCATAGAAATAGTGGATTTTCCCATTAAAAATGGTGATTTTCCATAGTTATGTTAGTTTACCAGAGGGTAACACACTAGGCTAGGCTTAGCGACGGTCCATTTTACCCTGCAACTTGGCTCAAACTAGCAGTGACCCATGTCATCTGTAGATGATTACCTATGGAAAAAGAGAAAAATCGAGCCAGTCGCCAGGTTTGATTGTTATACCCATAGCACTGGGTGGTTTGAGCCTCCGATTCCCAGTCCGTGGATTGCTGTAGTACATAATCCGCATCAAGCCAGTCAGTACAAGCTCAAACATGCTGTCACCATCAACCGATCATCATTGCAGGTTGTATCCTCTCTTTTGCTACCATTGTTTCTGGCATTCTCCCCATCTTCACAGGTTTATGTGCACATGTTTTTCGTATCACATAATATCACCATGGGTGCACAACCATCAACCAACAACCATTTCTGGATCCGTCGAAATCCGTCGAAATCCGTCGTGTTAATTCCCACTGATCCCCATCCCTGTCTGAGAAGGCCCACAGGAACTTCCCAGGATCCTCTGTCTCCTGTAGGTACGCCTCGCTGCGCTGCGTGTTGAAAAAGGGAGACATCACTGATTGGTTGAGCCAGTCATCCAAAGAATCACAGTCATTAAAGATCAATCAATCACCCTTTTATGTCTTAAACCAGAAATTTGTTTGAAATCAATGATTTACTCGTAATATACACTCTTTGAAACATGTTCTTTCAACCAACCAGAAAATGGTTGCCAAACCACCAAAAAAAAACAAAGATCAATGATTTCCTCATCTCGGATCCCAAAGTGGCACCTGTGGATGTCGGCCCTCTATAGGGACACCTGCTGTCACCTCTTGGTGATGCCTGCCATCAGCGATACGGCGAGCTATGGCGAGGTGATGTAAAAGCACTGGATGTTGGATGAAGAAATGACCCAAAAATGGGATGTAACCTTGAGAGCCTAAATTCTAAATCCACCATCAAAAATGTGCAGACCCAAAATCAAGGCACCATCAAAAATTGGGAAACGACCATCAAAAATGGGAGAATGTGGGTTACCCAATGCCATAAACCTATCCCAATTTTGGTGAAGGTCGCCCAATCGGAGGTTCATCATTGGGTTACCAGCCTTAAATTGAAGTGGGACAGGGGCCAGTGTATTTGGCGTTGTCCGGAATGGGGGTATAAAAATATGGTATACCATGGTATACCCCAAAATCACAATTTTGATGAAATTGAAAAATAAACCTCCAATAATGATGGTAAACCCATGGAAATATATGGAAATTGGACGAAATCGGAGTGGCATCCGTTTTTTGGACAATAAATTCGATGTTTCGCAAAGAGCGAAAATGCCATCCACGTGAAGAAATCAGAACCAACAGGCAGCAAGTGGAGATTGGTGACCGGACCCGCCAAGATCCTGCCAGTTACAAGATGTTACAAGCTAGTTACATCTAATAATTATGTATATATCTATATGTGTATATATTATGTATATATATATATGTATGTATGTATGTATGTATGTATGTGTATGTATGTATGTATGTATGTATGTATGTATGTATGTATGTATGTATGTATGTATGTATGTATGTATGTATGTATGTATGTGTGTATATATGTGTGTATGTATATATATATATATGAATATTATGTGTATATATGAATATATATATATATATGAATATTATTTGTATATATGAATATATATATATATATGTATATATGTTAATATTATGTTTGTATGTATGCACATCACGCCCAAGTAGATCTTTATACAGCGAAATCAAACATGCCTGGGAAATCCCCGAATTCACTGGAGGTTTCGCTGGGAAAATCATCTACAAATGGGAAGGATATCTTTCACCCTAAGACTTTATCCATCTTGGTCCCATATGGTGGTTTCTTAAAATGGTGGATCCCAAAACCATGGGTTTCAATATTAAGCTGGTCTAAATTTGGATGATTTGTGGCTACCCCCATTTCAGGAAACCTCCATATCCACCAGCCTTTTTCTTTTCCCCGGCGCCACGTTCTCGCGGCTTCGTGCACGAGATCGCTGGGCGGTGAACTGTGGATCGATTTTCGGTGCAAGCAGATTTTCAAGCGTTTCTGATGGGAATGAAACCCCCATTTATGAAATTTATGACCAAAGAGAAATGGTGTTTTCCTGAAGTTTCAACTAGTTTCAACTGGTTTTTCTAGAAAACCTGAGCGTTACCAGTGAAGCACCGGGATTGGTCGAACTACCCCATGAATCTTGGTGCATTTTTTGGTGCGCACAATGGCAAACGATTTTTTGGTTTTGCGTTTCTGACCTGAAAAGTATACGCAAGCCTTTTTTTGTCTATGGGCCATGTGTTTTTTTTCTGGTGGAACTTTGGCAGCGCCACTCTCAGTTGGGCAATTCGACCACCTGCGGACCGTGATGGCGGTAGCCATGACGGAATCCATAGCACTTCTTTCAATAGGTTGTTGACTGAAAAAAAAAACTTTAACACACTCAACAGCTAAACTGATGGGGATGTGACTTCGAAGGTTTCTAATGACCGGACCCAGTTTTTGAAACCAAAACCCATGTTCTGATGGGCGAAAGTCTCCAAGGTCTCCAATTTTGCTGGGATAAATGATGTCTCATGCATGAACTATGTTTTTCCCCTGTGTATACGAAAATAGCCAGATGGAAATTCACACTTCCAGAGGAAACCAATTGAATCTGGCCACTTGCTTCAAGTCCATCTAGAGGACACTGAAAAAACACTTCAAAAACTCTCATCGCAGGCTGTCAGCTTGTTGGTTTCCAATCGATCCTTGGTGGTTAAATCAGCTTAGAACGCATATTTAATGGTAGAACACTTACAGTATAACTTTAGAAACCACGATCAACCCATCCCCAACCCGTCCTTAACCCATCAACCCAGGTCCAGCGACCTGACTGATGCCAGGATAAATAGGCAGCTTCAACTGATACTTCTCCACGATGCCAGGTGGCACTGGGCGAACTTTGAGTTTCAGCCACTGGGCGAACGAACTGTTGGGTTGAAAAACATGGCTAGAACTCATTAGACGGGATAGAGCCTCTATAAGTGTGAAATATTGTGATGTTGTAGATCCACTTACCAGTAGTACCGGCACGAGGCGGGGCGGAAGTTGCCTTAGAGTTATACTATAAGGCCTTTCTCATCTATAGAACTTGGATGCGCCGTGCGCGAGCGAGGCCCGTGCGTGCGTGTTTTTTCCCAGACTGCTGTGCTGCTGTCCAAGAACAGGACCTGCGCGCGACCCGGGCGCAATGCAACGCCAAGGGAACACTTTCTTCACTCTTCGCACTGCACTCTTCACCCCGCACTCCACACTTCACACTTGCACTCATCTCATCCGAGCTCTTCTCATCTCATTTCATGTCTTCTCATATGTCAGCTAAGTTCTTCTTGGCTATTTTCACTTCATCTGAGCACAGCTCAACCTGCAGCCTGCAGCCACTTTACACAGAAAAACACACGGTTTCGTGCTCCGGCTTCCTCCCCAACACAAGTCCCATGCCAGATGAATGCAGCCATTACCATGCATTTTGCAGCACCACGTACACATCCATGCAGCCATTACAATGCGATTCTCATCCCCGCGTTGCAGAACACCAAGGGAGAACCGATTACGCGTTGAAACGATCCAAGCCGCACGCGGCCTTCGCACTCACGGCCGCCCCTGCACGCGCGGTCCGTGCCCTTGAACGGGCAGTCGGGCCGGCGGCAGGTGTGCTTGGCTTTCCGCACGTGGCCCGGGGCTACCGGCAAGGGATAGTCCGCCGGAACATCTCTCCCGAAGCGTGCCGAGACCTCGTTGAGGCTCGCATGCTTGCTGAAAGGATGGAACGGTCCTTCAGCGAGCATTGCTCGCAGGTACTGTTCCGTATCCCGCCCGTGCTGCTCCTGCAGCCGCAGATGTACTGGGCACCCTGCACCTGCGTTGCAGCTGTCGGGACTTGGACACGATGGCCGCCAGCAGGGGCCTTGGGCCCGCACGCGCCCTTTCGTGCCCACCCAGTCCCATTTCGCAGCTGCTGGTGCTTGCCGCGGGCGGGCCAAGGGGTGCAAGGCGTCGTCCGGTACAACATCCTTGCCCCCTGCCCGGTGCCTCGCCGTCCGGGCTCGGTGCACGACCTTTTTTGGCGTGGCCATAAAGCCGCCCGTGGCGTGCTTCCACCTCCTCGTTTGGGAGGTGGCCGGGGACTAGCTCGGAGGCGCAGACCCCTTGGGCCTGCGCCTCACGGACCACGCTCAGGCCTTGACACGCCTGGGCGGCATAACCCCGTGGATCCCCTTGGACTATCCCATTACCTATCCATTAACTAGCTCCTCTTTATCTGTTCCTATCCCCGAAACTATTTCTTTCTGTTTATCGCCTTCTGCCCAATTATGTATTGTATTGTCGCCCCGTTATTCTTACTATCCCCTTAACTATCCCGTTACTGCTCCCCTTATTATGCCATTAAATAACCGTGGACTATGCCCTACTATGCCAAATCTTTGCTGGCCTGTCGCAGCTGAGGCAGGAGGGCCCCCAGCTCCGCGTTGGCGCGCTCCAGGTCGTTCAAAGCTGGCCGGTCGGGGGGGGTTCTCCGAGCATTTTCTATTTGGTGGCCGTGCCTGATTTACCTATTCCATTCCGTGGCGATTATTGGGTCTGGGTTATAGAATACGATGGTATATCAAAGAACATATTTTAGGGACGGGGAACCATGTGCAATTGGGTTTGGGCTGCTCAGATGGAACGTATTTAGAAGGAACCTCCCGATGTACCTTTCATCGCCGGCTGCAGCCACTTTACACAGAAAAACACAACGTTTCGTGCTCCGGCTTCCTCCCATGCAACGTTCATGCAGTCATCGCAATGCATTTTGCAGCATGACATGGCTAATCCGCATGTCTCAACAGACATGGCAACAAAACATGACAGCAATCATGCAACCAACTTCCCAGGTCTCCGCTTCCCTTCGTCACCACTTCCCTAGGTCACCACTTCCCTAAGTCCTTGCAGGATGTAAAGTCCCACACCACCCTTCATCAGGTAAAAGTCATCTGTGACTCGGAAGATTGCTTCCCAACTTCCTTTGAACATTATATTCCATAAAAAAAAGGATGTTCCATTGGACAAGAAAAAACATGTTGTTGGAGGGACAGCCACAAATCCCAGCTATATTCATGTGAACAGAAGGTAACCGGGCATTTTACTCATCCTCGGATTTGCATAACCACGGGATAAGTAGAACTGCACACGCGTTTCCGAGAAATGTCTGTAGTGGGAACACCCAGTTGCCACCCACGCACTAACTCGATATACTAGGTCATATTCTGTCGGAAAATATGCTACCCAAGAATCCCATATTCAATCAATTTTCCCCATTAAGATAACATTTGGGGGTACACCCCACTTTCAGACAAACCCATATACAACCCTAACTAGTAACCAACCGTGGACCTTAACTTTAGGAATCATCCCCGTAGCGTATCGTTGGAATTCTGCCACAATATCATAGAATACCTGCCTTATGGATACTTAACACATCTTAACACATTTGTGTCTAAGCCCCAACCACATCTGAGTATGGTGTTGTTGGTATTTTCTTCGTTTTTCATTCTCGAAATGTTGGTAGTGTAATATCTGGCAGTGCTGGGTGCTGGTATTGGTCGACTGAGTCAACTGGCTGGATCTGATTGGTGGTGTTGAATTTCATTATGTCCTTCGTGCATCTTTTGAACAGTTCAAAAGCATCGTTTGCGTTTTTGGTGCTCGTATTTGCTGGTAGTTGTTGCTATGAGAATTAACCCAACTTCTCACAACTGAAGCTGAAACCGTCAATCGTTCGCTATTTTTGACAAAACGTGTATGTTTCCCTTTTGCGTCATTCATTAGTGTAATGGTGTACATGAACATGTTGATTGGGGTTCATTATGTTTCTATTAAGATCAACAATAAATTCAAATCAGTTGGATACAACATCACCCATTCAAGAGATCGTGTCTGAAGAAAACGGTGCTAAAGTCTTAAGGTTGGACAACTCACCCAATATTAACAATGTCCCCGTTGTCTATGTTGCTATTAGGTAAAGATCCCTGTTTCTTTTTACGAACAATTTGAGAGCAAGAAATGCCAATGCTGATTTGGTATTTCACAGGGGTAATATTGCTGGTGATAGTAGATGATAGTAGGATAGAATCTCTGAGACATTGAAGATCGGAGGATTTCTTCATTACGAACACAATAGAAACGTCAAACACTTAGACGTGGGTTAGAAAGGTCGGAAACTCACACCCCGGCTGGTTTTTCCAAGACATTCTTTGACAATCCTTGTGTTCACCAAAAAAACATCTAAGTTCTAGCTACTTGTGAGTAACGGTTGCAAAACCTCGAATTTTCCTGGGTGATGGGTGTAAGAATGTCGCAACTCTTCACGCTCCCATGGCCCAGGAAGATTCGCTGGGACTCCGAGCCAAAGCGACCGCCCAAAAAGTGGCGACCCTTGAAATGTGCCGCACACATCTTGGGAGCGGTCAGAGAGATCAAGAAACCTGCGTCATGTTTTTTGTCCCCGGTGTCATCCAACCTGGTGGGCATTTTAACTATCAAAAATGAACATGTCCCCCTACCACATTAGATTGCCAGAGCCTCCGTTGGCAGCAAGGTTTTCTTCCAGGGTGTTTCTGCAAGATTGCTAGTCATTTCTGCGATTTTCTAGGTGTTTTTCCATCCCACTATGGTTGCGGAGACATTTGCGATGATATTTCAGCCACAGTTGTTTTCTAGTATTTTCGGGGTGATCAAATGGGATGTTCATCCACCCTTGCGGGGTGAAGTTGGCACTTCGATTTGCAGCGACCCTTTGATCCTCGAGAAAACACAGAGCTCTGCATCGACTGAATCTATAGGGTGTAGACTTTGTACACCTGAACGCACGGTTCACTACAACCAAGATCCCATCTACAAATGCCTGGAACAGGTCGCAGACAGATCCGTCTGACGGATCTAAAAAAACTCATAGGGATCAGCAGGATCATCCCCCCGAAAATTGTTGTGCCGGAATCCTGGTCCAAATTGATCACTGGGGGAAACCATTCCCCCAGAAAAAAAAAAGAGCATTTGCTACTTGGGATGATCCGCCACTCAGCGCTTCTGAACACCAAAGTGATCGCTGCCGCGTCACACCTTGCAGCATTGATGGACCTTGATGACCCCGACGCTTTGGATGAACCTGGAATCTCATGGAGATATGCAGTGGAATTTTCAGTCATGAAACCAGTTCCAAACGTCAACTCAAAAGCAAAGAAAACCACGTCACCCATCGTCGTGGGGTCATCAACAACCATCGGTGCCACTCTTCAAATCCTGGTTTGTTCTGGGACGTGACACGCCAACTCTTATCACTCAGCAACTGGTTTCTTTACCCACTGGGGGGACCTCCACCCAAGGAGCGCCTGGTAGAATTGATCGCGTTCAAGCCACGAAATTGCCAGACGCATTGATGACAAAGTACACTCCGCTGAGTACCTCTGGGCTCACGTATCTCCAGTCAAGCCTGGTAACCTTGGTACCCCGGGCCTCCCAAAAAGAAACGAATAAACCTTTTCAGAGGGATGCTCACCTTGCCCATTTGTGACGTTTACATGCCTGGTTTTGCGCACAAATTCATCAGATGATTTCATTCACAGTTTGACGGAAAAACTCCACATTTTCATGGTTCAAGTTAAACCTCCATTTTCTATGTTTAAACCCCATGTTCTATGCGGAAATAACCCCTTTCCATGCTTAAATCCCCATGGGCATCATCTGGCCACATCCTATTCGTCTCGGCACCATGAGCTCTGGAAAGAGTTTCAGCGAATTCAGCGTCAAGCCGCGGTAAAAACTCGTGGGGCCACCTGCAGAAAAATTGTGACTTGTCAGCCATGGAATGACGACTTTGGTTGGCAATTGGAATTTCACTGGCCCGGTGATGTTCACCCAAATTTGCGATTTTACCAGCTAAAATTAGGATCCAGGATGACTAGCAACAAAATGGGAGTTGATCATCAAAAAGTTGGATTTCACCACCCAGAAGTTTCCAGCCTTCAGCGTAGATCCTTTGGGCACCTTGGGTTATCAGGGCGCCAACATCTGGTAAAATCAACCCCGGATTGAACATGGAGAAAAACCCATGGTAATGTGCATATCTAATCATATATACATAGAATACTTATATCATCTTATATTTTGTGTACGTCTAACTAGTGGGGACATATCATATATCAACCTATGATTTACCCTCTGGTAAACTAACGTCACTATGGAAAACCACCATTTTGAATGGGAAAATCCACTATTTCTATGGGCCATTTTCAATAGCTATGTCAGCCATTACCAGAGGGTATATCAACCTATGATTTATGCCCTTCATTCTTTGGGGCCAACCTGTTGAGGTCACCCGTTTCGCGAAACGGGTCCCCGGACAATCCCTCAGGGACTCCGGCATGTCTTTCCGCCGGCCTGACGCATCGGCTTGAAACGCTGAAGAATTGAAGATACTGTTGATGGTTAATAGTGGTTAATAGTGGTTAATAGTGGTTAATAATGATTGATAGTGGTTAAGAGGGTGGATGGTTGCGAAATCACCAGTTGATAGATGTCTTTCCCATTCTTTGATATTATCTGTAGGAATTCAACCATCCAAGGTGGTGCAGGATCTCTTCCATCCACAGTAGTTAAGTAAAACACGTATAAGTGGGGGGATTAGATCAACTAATATGGGGGTCAACCAACCTATATGTGGATGTTTAACCAACTAATGCGGATTTGTGTAGACTTGTTTGGGGCATTTACCATGACTGATCACAAGATACATCGTGCTTCTCTCTTGAAGGGAACTTAAGCAACTAATATGGTGGTTTACCCAAATTTGCTCAAAATTAGATAATGCTGAACACCTACAACTGGGTAGTTATAGCTCCATTGGTTTCGGCATTCATCTCCTCAACCACCAGTTACCAGTTCGTACCGCACAAGGCGGTGGCGGAAGTTTCCAGGATAGACAACTATAGGAGGGGCGAGTTGTTGTGACGCATGGATGGCAGAGCGAATCCACTGATGGACGGAAAGGTGGTTGGAGCTGTGCTTTTTGGAGTGGTTGCAGTGGTCAACTCACCCACAACTGCTGAATGTAGTGTGACGTGGCGTGGTGTAGTGTAGTTTTAGCTGTACTTGCAGTACTAGTTGCAGTGTAGTGAAGTTGTAGTTGTAGTAGTAGTAGTTGTATTGTAGTGGTTGTTGTAGTGATTGTGTAGTTGAAGTTGCAGTTGTAGTTGTAGTTTGCTGCAGCGGTAGTGGTAGTGGCCGTGGTAGCTGTAGTGTAGTGTAGTGTAGTGGTAGTGGTAGTTGTAGTTGTCGTTGTAGTTGTAGCGCAGCTGAAGTTGAAGTCGAGGCTGTAGTTGTAGTTGTACTTGTAGTGTAGCTGTAGTGTAAGTTGCAGTGTAGTTATAGTGTAGTTGTAGTGTTAGTTGTACTTGTAGTTGTAGCGCATTTGAAGTTACAGTTAAAGTTGTGGTTGTAGTTGTAACTGTAGCTGTTGTTGTAGTGGTAGTTGTAATTGCAGTTGCAGTCGTAGTCGTAGTTGCAGTTGTAGTTGCAGCTTTAATTGTAGCGTAATGGTAGTGGTAGCTGTAGTTGTAGCATAGTCGAAGCTGGAGCAAAGCTGTTGCGTAGTTGAAGTTGTAGCTGTAGCTGTAATGTATTCGAAGTTGAAGTTGAAGAAGTTGTTGTTGTTGTTGTTGTTGTTGTAGTTGTAGTTGTAGTGTTTTGTTGAAGTGTAGTGCAGCGTGGTGCGGTTGAACGTTTTAGCATTTTCAATTCCAAATGTGCTTCGCACCACAACGCCGTGCACGTTTTCAACATCTCAACTTCAAAAAGTGCTCCGAACCCGTCAGTCTTTAACACTTTTGACTTCGAAATGTGCTTTGCGCCACAACAGCGCTTTTTGAACATCTCAACTTCCAAAAGTGCTCTGGCGTTGGTGTGCTTTGTACCTTTTGACTTGGAAATGTGCTTCCCGCCAACAGCGTGCAGTTTTTGAACATCTCATCTTCCAAAAGTGCTCCGGGGGTGGTGTGCTTTGTACGTTTTGACTTGGAAATGTGTTTTGCGCCACAAAGGCGTGCAGTTTTTCATCTCTCATCTCCCCTGATGGCTCTGCACCTGCCGCTTTTGCGAGCCACTTTTCGACCCTCCGGAGCCACAAATCATTGGAAAAACATGGAAAAACACCGTGTTTCGCGACTTTGCAAACTTTTCGCGCACCTGCATCTTCTTTCTGCTGACTCTTTCTCTTCTCTTATCTTCTTTCTTCTTCTCTTCTCTTCTCTGACTCTTCCCACCTCTGCTTTTCCATCTGTCCATATTGTCGGAAGTTTGACTTCTGAACTTCCTTCAATAAGTAAGTATCAATAGCTGGGGTGAACCCGTTTTCAGCATGAGTTAAAACTTATGAAATCCCATGTGACTGTGGTGAGATGAACATCCATAACTCTGCTGTCGGGAAGAGAATTGATGAAAGATTCAACTGAAAAGTTGAGGGTTTTATGGTTAGATGGTAAAATAATAATTAAACGTATCCCCCTGATGTTGAATTCTCCCTTCGATTTGAGGTCCCTTGTTGGAGCTGTTTGACATCCAGAGGGATGGGATACCGATTAAACTGGGCCAGCATTGCTGTAGGTAGGGTGGAAGCAAATACCTCCACCCTGCAGAAATGAACGTCAGTTGCTATCATGTGGTTTGGAAACTCAATGGGACATATATATATATATATGTATGTATATGATATATGCATTTATATATATATTATTGTATATTGTATATTGTATATTATATATATATTAGATATATATAATTATATGTATATATTAGATATATATATATATTAGATATATATATATATATGTGTATACATGATTATATATGTATGTACACATATGTATGGGTTTCACTATACTGGTCGAATTTTGATTTGGGGGTACCCTTGGATGATCCTCCATGGGCACTGGTCTGCACTAGTCCCACGCCTGCACAAGTGTGTTGCCACCTGGATCAGCAGCAAACCCTGAGGGTAAAACAAAAAAAATGTGGAATATATGGGAATATAATATATACAGTAATCTATAATTAATCTATAAACTATAGATAGATTCACCCTCTGGTTATTTTAACATAGCTATGCAAGCCATGGCCCATTTAGTTTGATGATAACAATGATGATTGACCTATGAAAGAAACGGGGATTCTCCAGTTCGCTACGTCAAATAGCCAGACGGTAGCCCAAACAAATGCCAAAATATATGTGCTGCTCGGGCTGCGAGGCTCAAGTTACATGGTATATGGATGTATATGGCTTGTTGTCATCCATAATGGGAATTCTGATAGGTATATGAATCCCTAATAATGCATTCATGTCCATCCCCCAAAAAAAGAGCAATTCACCCAAGTTTGACGCCAGAAAAGTGCCATGGTCAAGTTTCCCAAGGGGATAGTCATGGCCCTCCCAGTC